CATACTATTATAAGACTTTGAGCATTAAATCTGCCAGAATAAAGTATTTTTGAAAGAGAATAAAAACACTTTGCATTAAACAGTCATTAACAGTTTGGTAAGTCACATTCTATATAATTGCATATGCAGTACAGAGCCTACCTTTCACAAATATTCCCATATGCAAAGCCAATATTGCTTTAAGCAGCACCACTAGTGATTTCTGCTGTCCACCTGATATTAAGCTTTAGACTACTTAATTACATCCTCCACAAGAGCCAAATACACAGCTTTTTAAACAATGACTATAAAAAGACTATGAGAACTTTTGCTATTTTTTGAAGTACATTCTTAACATTTTTATTCATAAGTAGCCAAGTTAAAACATCTTTTTTTTTAAAAAAAAAAGGCAAATTAAAAAATAGATTCAAATAGGTTTCTCTTCTGTTAGAGGACAGAAAGCTATGAGGTATTTTGTGCAAGCTCACAGAGTGTGCGATTGAACAGGAGAAAAAAAATCTGAGCGTGAAAGAAAATTCCAGCATCCTAGGAAAAAAAAAAAACCTCTGCTCCATCTAATTCATTATTCAATAAATGTATCTGTTCAATCCCAGAAAGCTTCACTCTACAAGCAGGCTGGTAAGAGCTTTAGAACTTACACAACCAGTTTCTAAGGTTATAAACCTCAATTATGTGAAATGACAGTTGAGCAGTACAGACTGAAATACCAACCTCCAAACTATGGTTTAAAAAAGGGTTAAAAAAGCTATTTTGATGTGTGGGTTAGCCTTTATTTTGTATTTCCTCTAGAAATTAATTCAGTATAGAAATTCTACTTAAGATGACTTGGCAAGCACAGCCTAGCAATTAGATAGCAAAATACTGTCCCCCCACCACAGTTCTGTGCACAGATACATTATTTACAAGGAAATGCGTTCCCAAAAGTGTAAAGTAGAGGCAGAAAACAGCTGAGTGCAGCCAGAAAAGGAATTCACCAAATAAGGCAGGAAAACTTGCCTGTCAGTACTGGTAATGAGGAAACCAAGAGGGTAGGTTTCATTTCCTGGGTTACAAATGTGAATCAATCCAAGCCAGAATTTATAAGCAGAATCCAGCAGTTTTGGCAGACAGGCAAGTAATTAAGCTTCACTTGTCTGGAACATGGGTTTTGTTGGTTCGGGCTGCAAAGCAGTTCTTTTCCTTGCCATAACAGGACCTTCCAATTTTGTAAGGCGGGTCTGCTCAACAGAAAAGCTCAGACCTTCGGTGATTTTTCCCATAAACTTTGTATGTCTTAAGCTATAGAAATACCTGCAGTATAGAAGAATGCAAAGCTCACACAGAGTATCACTTGATTTCAAATCTGTTTACTGCAAGTCATTAATTCAATCATGACTGATGCTGCAGCATCAACTGGGAAACTGTTTCATCGCCATTCCAGGTAAAACTGCATGACCTCCGAGTCTCTGGCTCTCCTATCTGTAAAATGGCTGTAACAGTTCACCACTTTCTACCAACTGTTCTGATGTCCCCAGAAGAAAGTGTCTAAAGGGCAAATTAATACTATTCTTCCTAAAATGCTCATACGTGGTGTTACTTGTCAATGCTTCTGTTATCCAATAGGGAAAACATTTTTGAGTATCTCTAAAAATATGAAAGGATTTTTGTCAAATCTCCATTATAGGTAGTACTGACAGCCCTCAGCGCAGTAAGCCAGGCCTGATTTTTGCACTGCATCTGCAATATCTTTTATACTTGGGCAGCTGGCATAGAGTGAGAAAATTCATTAACATGCTAATGATGTGTCCTACTTAAAATTCCAGCTCTGATTATTGTGTGATTAAGTCTCTTCCCTTGACGTCTGCTTCCTTATATCTGCATTACTGTGAGAAATCAACAATTATTAATGAAGTAAAAAAATAGGTTACCAATTTATACACAAGAGAAAGACAAACATACACACACATTTCAGCATTTCAATGTTTTCCAGACAAAGCAGTATTACCTTCAGTAAAAAAAAAAAAAAAATATATATATATATAAAAAAAAGTTTTCAAGAAGTTCACAGGCACAAAAGATAACAGTTCAAGTGCCAGATGAGAAACAGCCATGTGTAGGAGCAATACCTGCACAGAAGGTTTTAAGGTTCTATTAAAAAAAAGGGAGGGCTCCCGATGCAGAAGAAGTAGAATATTATGCCCTGGAAATAATACAAAAGCAAGAATGAGAGGAAACAACAGCTCCAGTTGATCTGATTACTGCTCCCAAAGAAAAACGAAGCATCTCCTTTCTACAGCAAAAGACATTTAAACCAACTGACTTACTTAAACTAGCATTCATTTGCCTTCAAAACGAGGAGACCAAGAGACCACTTTCTTTGCATTACTTTGAGTAACCTATGTTTAGTTACAGACAGACACCTATTTCATTGTGTTGAGCCAAAGCATAGCACAGCTGTGTAGCGAAGAGGAATCACAGGTACATCCCTACTGCACACCAGGACACAGATCAGCCAGCCTAGCCCAGATTGGTTTTGCTGTTTAAGTTCACATAGCCTGAAGGGTTCCCTAATGAAATCTGTGCAGGCAGCTAGAAAGAAAAGCCAGAGGACAGTAACATCCTCAGCTAGTAGAATTAGGTGGAGAACGGATTTCTCTCACTGGCTTCTAACTATAAGAAGGAGAAGTCAAACTAACCAAGAACGGGCTTCACCAAGCAATGGTACCACTCATTCTAATTTTACCCATGGCACAGAGCAGCTGAGCACATGCTGCACTAGTAGCTCAAAGAACAGAAATCATTTTTCTGTGAGACTACACTCTCCCAAAATCACACTATCCCCAAAACCAAGGGGTCAGCACACCCTGCATCACAAGCCCCATGCCCCTGCTGTATCCCTTGTGCTGATGTTGGACCTCCCACCAGGCACTAGTGGGTCTCACGGGGGCACTGATGCCCACGTTGTAGCAGGCTTCTGGGCTGCGCTGGCATACAGGATGGGGAAGAAACACAAGTAAAAGGCAAAACCACCCTTCTCAACAGCAACACAGATTTTACTTGTGTAAATGAACCACAAAGCCTGAGGACGTGCATTAAGTCAGCTTGGCCACCCTGACTCAAATTTCACCTTTCACAGTGCAGACAAAGCCAACACAATTATCTACAGTTCTTTTAAACAACAGCCAAAACGAATGGTAACAAAATCGTATTCCAATTGTTCATGCTTTTTTCTCCAAATATAAAAGTACTTTACAAAATAACAACTGGTTCATAAGGGTGGATACTGTCTTTGAGATATAATCTAGATACTGTTTTCCAGAGTGTACCAGAAGGCTTACGTTCAGTTAAATGTGTTGTTACCAAACTCATACTAGTGCTCTCAAACCTACGTGAGTTTTCATTTGTTAAAGGAGAAAACGGTGCAGACAACACACAAGGAGGGCAGAGATGAGGAAAAAGAAAGATCTCAGATTTTCATTTGTGTCTCTGACTAGTATCTGCTTGATAGTTTTATTTTACACAAGGATAAGTTTCTCCTTGCGCCTACAGAATCACAATAAATTAAAAGAATAATCCATGTAGTAAACACAGTATTTTGCAATTTACTGCCATAAACTCTAGGACAGCAGAGGTCAGGCCAAGAAGACACCTCATTCCAGCTACATATATGCAAAATGGAAAGAAAAAAATATCTGTGAACCACTACCAATTCTGTTACATCAGCTAGAGTCTTGCAGAGGTTTTGTTTAAAAACCTGCTGCAGAAAAGTACAAATGAGAAGCACATGCATATTATCAAAAGTTTAATTGTCCTAGAAACAAAGGAGTGGATTAGAAGGTCAGAACCCTCTTCAACTCACTTGGAAGCCCAAGCAATGAGGAAGCATTGCCTGGTGTGTATTTGCAACTTTGGATCACAATGCACTGATCTGGGGAATCTCTTTTAGAATTTTTATCTAGTTTCTAAGAAAGCAAGTTTTTCTCTAGTAGCATGTGTGCATATATATATTCTTCTATGCATTTTTAAAACATTGTTGTAAGACATATCCAAGTGCCTACAAAACTTTGCTTCTAGGATAGCTCTGCTTATCCATCTGCCTATGAAGAAACTTCATATAATTTTAAAACAGAGGTGCTTTCCTCTCTTCAACCACCTTATAAGATCTGGAAAAAGGAAAGACATTTCAAACCACAAAAGCTTTAAAGTAGCTCTCAGATTTATACTTAGCTGTTTAGAGGTAACTATAGTAACTGTACATTTGTAGTCAATTAAATGTTACTCAGCCTTTTCATTTAATCAAGCAGCAAGGCCACTTTATCTGCTTAACTTCAGGAGAGGATACAGCAGATAAGAGGCTAAGTCAAGTATAGGAACAACTGTGCTGTTTGTTAATTTGTCAGTAGCTTTCACAGTAATTCCAGAGAACTTCTCCAATTTCACCATGACACTACAACCCAAGCACCCTGCTTACAGTTACATGTGAGATGCATTTGGCAAGCTGTTTAAACCCCAACTCAAACTAAATTTACAAAGACAACTCTTGGCTTCTGAACCAGCCATCCCTTGCACCTTGTATATTCAGACTCATCACCAAGTGTTTTATATATATATATATATACACACTAAAAATTTAGTTACATATCCTAAATACATTGCTATTGTCACAGCCAGCCACATCTACTGCTTCCACATAAAAGACCACGTTTCTCCGTATGTAAATGCATGCACAATATCATCATCACTATTATAAAAATGGGCTTAAAAAACAAAGTTTTTGGGAACAGGGCTAAGAGATTTCAAAAATCTGTATGTTGCTGGGATACCCTTCTCCCGCTCAGACTCTCTCACCTCAAGGGGAAACAGCTGAGAGCATATTCAGCATAATGCTTATCTAGGTCCTGGCCAAACTTACCTCAGAAAGATCAGTGCATTTCATGAAATTCAGGATGGTTCATCAAACCCTGTAGACATCTAGGATCTCATGACTGAGCAAAAGCTGCAAGAGCTTGTGAACTACTTACCAAAGGCAGTCTCTCCTTCTTCAAGCTCTTGTTTCAGTCTGGTGTAATCATCTTTGATTCTCTCTAGTTTTCGGACATTTCTGGCACTCAGAACCAACAGTTCATTGAGAAGTCCTTCCAGCCCCTCCTTCTCTGATGTTAATGATCTTATTTCTTCTGTTAGGTCCTTTGCAGTACCAAAGTTCCTTCCTGTGTGTTTTGTGGGGATAAGGGGTAGGAACACAAAAGAGACAATGAAGCAGATACTTGTAACATCAGTAGGTTACACAGCAAACAAGGGAAATTAAGCAACTATAATTCTCAAAAGCAACTGAAAGACCAATCTGAGGGGGGAAAGGGCAAAAGAAAAAAAAACTGCTTTGCAAGCATCCATTTCAATAATATACTACAAAACCAATCGTGACTGTAGCAAATTTAACCTTATACATACAGAAATACTGTGTTCAAATTGCAGATATAATTTACAATTTTGAAGAAAACCTGTTCCTAAGGGACCATACTTCAAAAAATGTCATACTGTGATTCACTGATCACTACAGTGTGATCTGTCAGACCATTTTCTTCTCTCGGAGAACACCTCAACTTGCAATACTTTTGAAATAGATGCTGCCAATCTACTAGAACCTGAAGTATTTCTTCTTGAACAAAGCAGCACTATGATGTTGCTCCTAATAAGAATCAGAAGACTGCTTAGAAACAACACACAGCATTTCCTAAATGGCATGCAGCCTGTGCAAAAGCTGTCAGGAGATATTCTTCTGAGAGACTATACTTGAAAGTCACAACTCTCCAGTTCTGGTTCTCCCTGAAGCATAAAACCTCATACACAGGCAGAATACCTCAGTATCACCAGCTCACACTGCTCTGCATTTTTTAAAAATGACTGGCTCCTTTGGACAGGGATCCACGTCAAAAGTTCAGTTCCCAACTGGCTTGCAATATAGCCAAGCAACGTTTGCCCACTTGACCTTTTTGAATACCATTTTTACAAGAACCTGAGAGGAATGTTTCCTTACTTCACAGGGAAGCCTTGAGTATATATAGGCAATAACAGTCTGAGATGCTCAGCTATTAAATGATTTTTAAAGTGCAGTAGAGTAACTGTTGCAATGCTACATTTATACAGATGAACCTGTGTTTTCAGTGATTCAGTTGCTTGGGGGGGGGGGAGTGGGTGGAGAAAAAATAAACAAAAAAAAACACTTTAAAGAATACCAATTTCCATGTAGACTTACCCAATACAAGATAAAAGACCTATAGCACAAGATCTAAACTCTAGCATCATCCTGACTTAGCAAGAATTTGGTGGTATGATATAATATATTAATGCACTTAGAAAATTTAGTCTTGAAGCAAATATAAAGCACATTCAGTCACACATGTAAGACATATAATGGCTTCTGAAGTGCATGCAATGACTTCAGACTCCAGAAATAACTATAATACCACTAGTATTATTAAGATACAAAGATGTCCTTTGGCTTTTGTTTCTGGAATATTGTAAGATGTTGCTTACACTCAAGAGAGCAATTAAAAAGTATAGTTTAGAAAATTGAGGCATAATCCAAAATATTAAATCCACATTAGAGTATTCTAAACTGTGGCATTACATCCTTTTTACCTGGTGTCTCAAGAGTGTTGGTCACAAAGTCTTAAACAGGAATGTTTTGCCTGCTGCTCAGTTGCTTCAGGACAGAGGAGTGAGTATTTACACTGGTCAGAAACCACTGTCAGCTGCTGAAAGCAGCTTCACTCCTCCAGAATGTAAGAGTGAACAGAAGCACTTCCAGCAAATAACTACAATCATCCTCCTGGAGGAAAGAAGCTGCTGCAAACTGAAGTGGCTGTATGGAGACAAGTGTGCCAAAGGGAGACTGCACTTCCAAGAATTTTGAGAAAAATGGTATCAAACAAGATAAATCTAAAGACTGTACATGGCAAAGTATGGTAGCTTTTGTTTCATTTTAGTTTAGTCCTAAGGCTATGGTAGTTTCAACCAACCACTTTTCCCCACTTAAAGCTGGCACTTTGTTTCTATTTAAGAGTTCAATTCTAATTCTCAGATAAAATCCTGTTTGCCAGTTCTGTCTTATAAAGAATTCTACAATTAAATAACTATAAATATGCTTTACAAACAATAGGATCTCATGGTTTACCAGTGCATTTACTGGGAAACAATAGTGCAATTTTTGTTATCCAAATCTGTCACACATTCCCAAGCGGGCAAAACACAGCAGCAAGAAAAGTAAGACAAAAATCATTGGGAAAATGGCAATGATTCAGATGCTTCTAAGGCAACATGACTTACAATTCAACATGCCACCTTTATTCACCTGAATTCATCTCAAGCATCAAAGCACAAGAGCCTTAATAAAACATGAAGGCAAGAGATTCTTCATTAGAATCTGGAACCTGCTCTTGCATTTTAGAAGTCAACAAGAAAAGTAGTACGATATTACATATTAAAGTCTTATGCATACCAAATGGATCTTAATTCCCAGAGGGGAATTTTATATCAAAACTGAGGCTATGAGGAAATGGCATTAGATACATACCCAAAATCCAAAACACAGGTGCTTGATGCAGCTACCCATGACAGCAGAAGTGTCTGGAAGTCTGCCGTGAAAATTCAGAAGAGTGTACACAAACTCATGCACCACAAGCGCCATGAGTGAGCTCCTGACCTCAATCATAGCAGCCAAAATAGCTGCTTTCTAAATGCCATGAGAAGGTTGATTTAAAAATTAATATATAATGTCTAGCTGCCAGCATTAAAAGACATGTCCTTTTAGGTTTGTTTTTTTCTTTTTTTATTTGTTAAGAGACAAAGTCACATTTAGTGCTGTAGAAACATTCTGAAGATGTGTCAAAATATTTTATTCTGCTAATATCCTGAAAATGCTGAAATTCTTTTGATGATAAAAGAATTATTTTTCCTAAATGAACACAATACCTGTTCCTTTGTCACCCACTCAGAGCTATGTTTTATACAGCCATACCACTGGGAGAGTTCTAGCTGGGTGATACAATACAAATAAAGTCAGTCCCAATTCTTCCCAGGAAACTCAAAAATCACTGAAGCTAACGGAACTGTTCACACAGAAAATCTGTATGGAGACAGTAAAAGTAAGGAACGAATAGCCTAAGATCAAAGCTTAGCTTTTTGTCTAAACCAAGACAGAAACAGGGATTTTGAAATGGACCAAAGGGCAAAATGCTACTTTTCCCATCCTTCATCCTGTCTCACAATGATGCTTACTACTAATGTGCAATTTTAGCCACTTCATACATGTTCATATAAACACATTGGGAACAAACTGGTACACCAAATGAGGAAATCCACAAATTCAGAAAACTGTTCATAAACCTCCAGGATTGAAAGTCTGATGCTTTATCAGAATCGTAAATCTATTCCATTTCAACTTGAATACATGGAATCAAGACTGCTTGGGTAATCATGGGAAGTAAAGATGGGATTACAATAAAATCTGAAATCATTCACATGAACTCAACCAAACTGATTATACTTCTACAACACTGAAAAATCAATTTTTAACTTTCCAGCTAATTCAAAGTATCCAGTGCTGTTACCAGGTTGAATTACATGTTTGTAGTACACTGTCATAAGGAGCTGAGCAGATACTCAAGAGCTGAGCCTCTTGATACTTTCAAGAGGCTGAACAGTACCATTACCTCGAAAGACAGCAACAAAATCCCAGTTTAAACTTCCTCCTTGATCTTACCCTCTGGGGCTATCGCTTCATATACATCCTTCATAACCCACTCTCTACAGTGGGTCATATCAGGTAAGTGGCTTGATGTGAATGCCAAAACCACCAGCCAAATCAAACAAAACAACCCACACTGGGAAAACTAAAAAAATTATCCCCAGGCACAAACTAGCTATATAACTGCTTTTATTCACTGCAAACATAAGTACATATTTATTTTCCTCTCTTCCTAGAATTTTATTTGTATGGCTATAGCTAAATAGTGCTCTGCATATCAAGTATACTTTCTCTATACCTAGTTACATGCCACAGACTCAAGTCCATTATAATAGCTCATTGTTAGGTTTTACTGTATTGGCCAGATTGTTGCCCATTTAGTAGCCTCAAACTAACATATGAAGTTGTTACCATTTACCAAAACCAAACTGACTAAAAATATGGTTGACTAAAAATCTGTCCCATTTTGTAAAAGCTAAACATGTTATCATTTAAGCTTTATTAAATATTTCTCCCCTTCAAAACCTAAGACAAAGTTACCGGCCCACAAGGCTTTTTCTTGTATTTATGGCAGAAATTACATAAGCTCTTAGTTTTCATTACTTACACTTGAAGTAGTGGTAAGTCCCATCCCTACTGAAACTATATCCAATGTAGTGTGAGCAAAGGAGACATTTTTCCATTCACAGAAAAGCATACATAATGGACACTGGCTTGAACATAGGAAAGAACAGACTGGTCATTCTTTATTATTACCTATAAACTAATTCTTCATAGTCTAACACCATTACCTTTAATAATACATAAGAAAGTGAAAATTTCTATTTTAGCTTAAGGCATTTGCTGCCATGGTATTTATCAATGGCACTGGAATTCAAGGCTGAAAATCCTCTACCCTTATGATTAATGAGAATACAAACTGATTCCAACACCAGAAAAAAAAAAAAAAATGAAGAAAATAAATATCATTCAGCTGCTCACGAAGAAAAGAGAAAAACCTAAAACCATGACAGAAATGTGAGATTTTGGAAGCACTGCCGTTATGTTTGCACCTCTGAAAAAAAAAAAACAAAGAGCAAATGAGGGACAGCCTACAATCTCCTGAAACATTTCACAAGAATTCCAGCATATCTGAATCACAATTACTGTTTTAAGCAATAACGTGTGCCAACGCTTTCATGAAGCACAATGCAACTCAATGATTGATGTGATCTTGAAAGGTAAAGTAAGAAAATCCATCTAGAAGCAGGCAAGAGACCTCACAGACATACATTTGAAGGAGGAATTCTCTGCCACAGAAAACCTTGTTACTACACTGAACCAGTCACCATAGAGCAACCAGGAACCACCACCTTCCCTCCCACTCCTTCAAAAAGAAAGTGAGGGAGCATAAAACCTCAGCAATAATAAAATTTCAAATCAATAATAACAACTCAGACTCACGTGAAAATTATCAATGAG